TTGGTTATGAATGTGGACTCTGTAGCCTGGAGCCCTAGGTTTGAATTCCAATTGTGTCATTCACTGGCTGTGTGACTCAGGATGCATTACTTAATCTCTCTGTGCCTTTGTTATCTGTAAAATAGAAATAATAGCAATGCTTACCTTGTAGGGTTTTTGTAAAGTTTCAAATGTGTTAGTACATTTAAAGTGCTTAAAACGGTGCCTTGCATGTAGGAAATGATTGATAAATATTACTTATTAAATGAGATGCTTATGTAACATGCTGAGCATACTACAAGCTCAGGAAATGTAAGCTACTATTATTATTTTCTGCTATAATCCTGTATGTTGATTTAGTGTGACACTTCCTATTCATGGAGTAATATTGTTCATTTAGTCCTAGTTTCTTGGCTATCTCATTGTCTTCACTTACATATATGCAAAAAGGTAGACCCTACCTTGATTTTGACCTTCTCGGTAAAGCACTAGCTAGCAAAATGCCCTTTTGTAGTCCATTCTGGCTGCTGTAACAAAATGCCATAGACTGAGTGGTTCATAAACAATAGAGATTTATTTGTCACATTCTAGAGACTGGGGAGTCCAAGGCCAAGGTGCCAGCAGATTTGGTGTCAGGTGAGAACTAGCTTCCTCAGACGACCTTCTCACTCTAACCTCATGTGGCAGAAGACGGCGAGAGGTCACTCCTGGGCCTCTTTTACAAGCATGCTAGTCACATTCATAGGGTTCTGCCCCCATGACCTAGTCACCTCCCAAAGGCCTCGCATCCTAATACAATCACCTTGTGGGTAAAAATTTCAACATAGGAATTTGGGGGGACATAAATATCCAGACCATAGCAACCCTATAGAAACTATGGAAACAAATATTACTTATTGATGATTTTTAGTTGCTGCCTATGCCATGGTAAATAGTTTACTTATGAAATCTCAGGGCAACTCTTTGTTTTCCAAATAAAAAGGTCGAAGCTGTGAGAAGTGACTTGCCCAAGATTATACGGCCAGTAGTTGATAGAGCCAGGACTAGAATCCTGATCTAATTTACCCCAAAGCTCATTAGCAACTGCTAGCCCTACTGCCTGTGAGGGAGCTAGCAGACGCACCCAGCCTGGGATTCTCTATTTCTGAGATCTCTTTCAATATTTCAAACACCAATATTTCCAGTCAGGAATAACACAGCTGCACAGTTTATGGGTTAATAAGTGTGTTATTAGGAACTGGGGCTTCAGCCAGGAAAACAGTCTTTTTAAAGCATTTACAGTCTAGAAATTATACATTGTGATTTGGGTGAGACGCAGGATTTAGTGGTCTCTAACTGGCTTTGGTGTTAGACACACATGTGGTTGGTTGAAATTCTAGCTTCCCCTCTTTTCAGGTATCTGAATGTCACCTTGCATCAGTCCTATCATCTATCTGAGCCTCAGTTTCCCCATTTGTAAATTGGGGACAATACATCCACCTTGCCGAAGGGATTGGATATAGTGTATGTAATGTACCTCCTATGGATTTAAGATAGGTACTCAAAAATGGCAGTTATTTTCTTAAAGCCTCATTCTGCATTGGAACGAGTTCTCAAGAGCCAATTCTGATGAGTGTCTTCACAGCAGGACTTAAGCCCTGATGAATTAATTTGTCTGAAGCCAACATTGTCTTTTCATTTCATCTTGATATGCTAATTTTGGGGGGTCTATAATTCAATGGTTATCAATTGAACAAGGGTGGTATTTGCTATTCTGTTCTGTATAGTTGTGTACATTGTCAGTATCCTAATAGTTATCAAGCTTTGACTACAGGAAAGTCCATTTGGTCTCTTAAAAGATGCACTGAATCTCTTCAATTCCTTTTTCATTTTGATTCAATAAAATGGTTCACTCTAGAAAAGCTGTATAGACATAGTTCAAGTCAGATATTTGCAATATGTTGTATATAACAATTGAGCTCAAACTACCTGAATTTCAAGGACATATTTATGGGGATACACTATAGCAATGAAATAATGAAATAAATGTACACATATGATTATCATATACATGTGATAGATATACATATGTATATACTTAATCTATTTAAAAGATTATACTATAATATAAATATCTTAAAGTAGATTAAAATAATATAATAAAAACTATCAGATAATAACATTTTAATACCTGCAAGGAGTTTCTTCAGACTGACTTCAGACTGAGTTTGTTTTCTTTTTTTTTTTTTTTTAAATTTGAGATGAAGTATCCTTCTGTCACCCAGGCTGGAGTGCAATGGTGAGATCTCGGCTCACTGCAACCTCTGCCTCCTAGGTTTAAGCGATTCTGCCTCAGCTTCCCAAGTAGCTGGGACTACAGGTGCGTGCCACCATGCCCGGCTAATTTTTGTATTTTTTTAGTAGAGACGGGGTTTTCCTATGTTGGCCAGGCTGGTCTCGAAATCCTCCGGTGATCCACCCGCCTCAGCTTCCCAAAGTGCTGGGATTACAGGTGTGAGCCACTGCACCCAGCCTGTTTTCATCTCTTATATATGCTAGTGACTTACTTTCTATAAGGTATCCATTTTGAATTTTTTTTTTTTTTGGTAGGGATTAGTTTGTAATAAGCCATCTATACCAGTATTATTTTCAGAATAATTGACCAGAACTTGGGGATACAAGCTAATGTTGAAAAAGGGATCTAACCCCCAACTTCTGGTCAAACTATAGTTTGTTCAAATGTCACACTTTTTTTTTTTTTCTTTTTTAAGATGGTGTCTCATTCTGCATCCCAGGCTGGAGTGCAGTGCTGCAATTATAGCTCACAGTAGCCTCCACCTGCTGGGCTCAAGTGGCCCTCCCACCTCTGCCTGTCAAGTAGCTGGGACCACAGTTATGCACCACAATGCCTGGCTAATATTTTTGATTTTTGTAGTGATGAGGACTCCCCATTTTGCTCAGGCTGGTTTCAAACTCCTGAACTCAAGCAGTCCTCCCTCCTTGGCCTCCCAAAGTGCTGGGATTACAGGCCTGAGGCACTGCACCCAACCTCAAATATCACATCTTTAACAAAATTTTCACCATGCTCTCTTTCTCCAATTACTCATGCTCAGAATTGTGTGAAGACTTTATCACAATTTATCATATTTAATTGATTTTGAATATTTAACTGGAATTCAGTGTAGATGGTGTTTTTAAATTAAAATATAATTCACATACAGTAAAATTCACCTTTTAAAGTATACAATTTGGCTGTGTGCAGTGGTTCAGACCTTTAATCCCAGCACTTTGGGAGGCCAAAGTGGGCAGATCACTTGAGCTCAGGAGTTCAAGACCAGTCTGGCCAACATGGCAAAACCCCATCTTTACCAAAAATATAAAAAATTAGCTGGATGTGGTGGCAGAGGCCTGTGGTCCCAGCTCCTTGGGAGGCTGAAGTGTGAGGATAGCTTGAGCCTAGGAGGCAGAGGTTGCAGTGAGCCTAGTGAGGCAGAGGTTGCACTCCAGCCTGGGTGACAGAGTGACACTCCCTCTCAAAATAAGCAAATAAATAGTATAGAATTCAATGGGTTTTAGTATATTCACAAAGTTGTGCAACCATTAGTGCTAATTCCAGAACATTTTTATCATTGAAAAATAAATTCCATATCCATTAGCAGTCACTTCCAATTCCTCACTCCCCTCTACCTCCTGGAAACCACTATTCTACTTTCTGTCTGTATGGATTTGCCTGAAATGCAATGTAATTTCATCACATTTCATGTAAATGTAATCATACAACAGGTGGCCTTTTTGCATGTGGCTTTTTATGTCCGAACAATATTTCATTGTACAGTTATACCATGTTTCTTAACCATTCATCAGCTGATGGTCATTGGGTTATTACAATACTTTTTGGCTATTATGAATATTGCTGCTGTGAACATTTGTGCACACGTTTTTATGTGTATCCAATTATTTAGGCTCACAGTATTTAGGAGTGGTGTTTTGCTACTACGCTGACTGGGGTTAAGACCAGGCTCTGCTATTTAGTAGATGTGTGACCTTGGGCAAGCTACTTAACTTCTCCGTGCCTCAAGCTCATCTACAAACAGTGACTATGTTATCCACCTCTTAGTGATTTTTGAATCTTAAAAGAGTTAACGTATGGGACGTACTTAGATCCGGGTTTGCTACATGGTTAGCAAACATGGTAAGCATGCGACATGGACATGCTTACATGGTCCAAGTAAAATTTATCTATTAGTATTATTTTAATATTTTAGGACTTTAATAAAAGGGTTCATCTTCATTGTACCTTTGAAACCCCAAATCCTAAACTTTTTTTTTTGTTAATTAGAAAAACGAAATAAATATTCAGAATCATCTGGTATTCTGGGTGTCCTAATTTCAGACAAGCACATTTTGAGATTGAGTGAGAGATGGTAAAGGTGTAAATTGCAAAGAGGCTTGCCTTCACCAATTTACCTTTCCTAATGCAGCAACTTATAACACCTATTCGCTTGCAACTATTTAGTATAATTTGGGAGGTATTCTTGTAATTAATAATATATTATTTAATAACATGTATATAGAGCTGAGTGGTGACTTGACTCCTGCTACTGTAAAGCTAGGGAATAGCGGCTTTTCACAGCAACTGTGCAATTGGTTTAGGCAAGGCCCAGGTCGATTTTGATTGGCTTGCCCAGTGGAAATGCTCTCCGCCTGAGCTACTACTGGCCAATATGGCTCCACAATTGGCTCTCCCGGAAGCCGACAGACACGTGGCTACCGCAGGCCGAGCCGAACGTGGGAGGACTTAGTTCTGCCTACCGCGAGAGGGCGCCGGCGGTTCCTCACTGCTAAAATCACATTTCCCATAAAGCCCCCGAGCCACCAATCAACTGGCTGTCTTCATACCGCTTTCAAAGTCGGCGGGCCCCTTGCCCAATAGCAAGGAAGGTACCGCCCCCATCTCGAAGATTGATGGAAATATTAACCAACCACATCTCAGGCCTCTGCTATCTCCTCCTCTCTTGTTGGGGATTGACGATTTTTCTAGCCAATAAGGGACGCTGGGTCGGCGGGTGGATGAACGCGGCCCTCTGTAATGGCGGAGCGTGGCGGGGACGGGGGCGACGGTGAGCGATTCAACCCGGGGGAGCTCAGGTAAGGGACGCTGTCCTCCCTCACATCTCTGCTCACGAGAGCCCCAGGGGCTAGACCTGCCATGTGGAGATCCGGGGCGGACGGTGGGTAGCGGAGCCGTGGCCGCCCTGGGCCAGGACCGCATGGGGCTTAAGAAGGGGGAAGGGGAAGGTGGCTTGAATGAGAGCCGGGCCCGGGCTGGGCCAGGGCCTCCTGCGGGTTCTTCGCCTGCTTCCTAGTGCTTTCTTGGAGCTCTGCCGCCCCTCGCGGCCTGCGGCCAGCCGGCCGGGCCCGGTGCTCCCGCCTTTGGGCCCCGCCTCAGCCGCGTGTCGCCTCCGTCTCGGCCGACCAGTCTGTCTCCCGGCCGCGTTCCGCTGCGGGCCTGGTTTTCCTCATCGACGTCCCTGCACTTCGCAGTTACTTCCCTTGTACCGCTCGCCACTTCTGGCTAAGCCTACTCCACGCCCTCCCCGGCCATTTGGGCCGCCCACGTTTGCCCTTTCATTTCATCCCCCTCATCGCTTGCCTTTCTTAACTTTAGTGGCTTTTCTTCCTTTTTTCATCCCTTTATTCCTTATTATTCTGTAGTAGTGAGTAACAACAACAGTAGCAACCGCTTATTAGGCACTTACCGTGTGCCAGTAAACCCTTTACTTAGGTTTGTCTCGTTTAATCCTCACGACCACCTTTTGGAGTAGTTGCTATTAACATTTTGCAGGCCACAGACCAGAGGCATCTTCAGTTGTTACTCGCCCATCTTACGGGTGAGATAACAGCCTCGTGGAGGTTGAGTCAGTAGAATAAGATTGCATAGGCGGATTTGTGGCTCCAGGAAGTGGCTTGAACTCAGGCAGTCAGGTTTCAGAGCCTGCAATCCCGATTGGCATTCTATTTGTCTACTACTCGTGCCATTTCCCTGACCAGTGCAGTGACCTTTTTTCCCCTGGAACCTCAATGCCTATGAATTTGTAATTAAAATTTGGTAAAATAAGAGTGACCTGGAGAAATCTTTTGGTCAGTGGTTTTTGAGGAAAAGAGGTATTATGCTTTATGTGTATATGGTACTTTTTTTTTTTTTTTTTCTGTATGGGAGAAATGGCATTTCGGATGTTCAGCTCCTATTCTGAATTGTGCTGTTGTCAACATTTGAAAATGAAAAAGAGCAGTGTAGATTATGAGGACTCTTGATACTGTCTAGAGCTTAAGATGAAATTGTGTAAGGAAATGGGTATTGTTATTCAAGGTTTTAGAAGAGGAAAATGCCTTTCAGATTCTGCATGGCCACACACACAAATCCCTATCTTGGCAGAAATTAAATTTTGTCTTATTTCAGAGACTCATCTGAAATCCTTTAAACTCCTGATGTATACAGTATTAATGAGTGATCAAGGTGAATTGTCAGGATCTTCCAATATTAGCTATGCCAAGCTTATTCTTGATTTCGGTCTTAAAGGGAGGTTACTTAGCTAGTTTCAGATGGATTTATTAGGGAACATTCTTTTGCATTTTAGAAAGTATCTTTCTAAAGCTTTTAAAAACATCCTTATTAATAAAGCCATTTAGACTTTATTAATGTTGCACAAGTGATTTGAATAGGGCTTTAATTTGCAAATGAATGTGCCCTGTTGCAAATATTTTATACCGTAGCCTCTTGGATTGGAACTTGCTTGCAGAGCATACTGTACAGATCTTTATTTTAGCATTTGTCATGAAATTAGGTGTGTATGTGGCCTCTTTGATGGCAGAAGTTGGGGCTTAATTTTTGCATTGTATTTGTATCCTGAATGTACTTCATGGTGTGTCTGTTATAACCTCCTGACAAATGAGATATTCTGTAGTTATGTTGTAAATAAATGAAGATAGGAGATTTAAAGATACTTCACTTACTGGGCCAACATTTATTGTGTACTACGTGACAGTTGCTGGCAGTAGTTCCCTGAACCAGACCAAAAAAAGACGTTTGTCCTGCAGGAGCTTCCAGCTTAAGTAAGAGCCATCTAAATTGTAAATGAAATCAACCACATCAGATGATTAAATCTGCCTGTAAGTGTGAAGTGACTTACACAAGGTCGCTGGTAGTTGGCAGGGTCTGGACTAAACCTCAGGTCTCCTCAATCACAGTTTATAGAATTCGCCCCTCATATGTCAGTAGCATCTTTTTATTTCTTGCCCCTCCAATTAAAGTATTGTCTTTAGCATTGGGGAGATTGCATACCTGGATAGAGTACTTCTGTTATAGAAAAATACCTTATGTTTGTATTTCCGTGATCTTGTGAAATATTTTTGTTATTTTTATTCATGCAAGTAGGCTTTTGTTATTCAGAAAGGTTGTAAGTGGTAGGAATATAAACCACAATAGATGGAAAATTTATAGACATTCCAAATGCCATTAAAGTAACTTCCAGAGTCATTTGTGTAGATCCTTTCCCTAGGGCCTTTGTTTACCTATCAATACTTAAGATACTTGCAATCTAAATTTTCTTATCTATAAAATGAGAAGAAGAATATTCTGGTGTTATCACTGACTAGCTGCCTTAAGAAAATTATTTTTCTGTGCTGTCATTTCCTCTGTAAAAATGGTGCCAAACTTACCTTATTGGGCTGTAGTGAGGATTAAGAGTTAATATGGGTAATGTCTGTGTAACCATACTGGTATATAGGAACTTTACTATCATTATTAAAACAATGTGTTTTAATGTGTTGCAACAGTATACTAAAGGGAACTATATACTAGTGGCTACAGATAATTCAGAAGTAAATGGGAGATTTCTTCATAGCATTTATCATAATTGAAAACTCAAATTGAGAATAATGAGCCTGAGAAGGCCTGGAGAGGCTAGAAGTGGGAAAGCAGTTTGAGCTGACATTTAAACTTGAGGCTGAATAATGAGACGGAGCTAGTTATGTGAAAATCTGGGGAAGAACATGCCAGGCAAAGAGAACAGGTGCAGAGGCTTCAAAGTAATAAACTTGAAATATTTAAAGGAAAAGACTAGAATTTGTGGAAAGGTTAATGTGGGCCAGGTAATACAGGGCCTGATAATAATTATAGTAATAATAGCTAACATTACTAATATTAATACTATTTAACACTTTCCAGTACTATTACTGTACTAATGTTACAGAAACAGTAATAATAGCTAATAACTTAGATAGCACTAAGTGCTAAGCACTATTCCAAGTACTTTATTAGCTCATTTAATCCTCACTGCAGGTTCTGGTGAGGTGGTTGTGATGAAGCAGTATGATATGAAGAGCCCAGCCCATGTTCTGTGCGTAATTAACATCAGAAAATGGCAACTTTAGGCTATTCAAAAAAGGAAATTATGTGAATTTTGTCACCATTTTAGTGGCAGACTTTTGAAAACCATCTCAAATTAATAGTGAAATGCCTTTTACAGATAAACACTGCTAGGTTTTGTGGGGGAATGAAAGTAATGATAGTTGAAGTAGTTTACTATGTAGCAGGTACCACTCTAAATGTGTCACTGGGATTATCTCATTGAACAGAGATATCAGATACCTTTTCTGTTCCTCACTCATTCACATCTGAGGAAACTCAAGACTCAGAAATTACGTAACTAGCCTGACAACAAAAGACAGAGTCCTAACAGAGCTTTTTTATGGTTCTGGATCTTAAATACTTTACTTCAAGCTGTAACCAGGAAGTATGAAATTGTGCAGAAATGAATACTGTAGACTTTTTGAAAAAAAGGAGAGGCAGATGGAAAGAAAATCTAAGAGTAGGGTACGTTATTAACTCTCAAGCCTGAAACAGAGTGTCTTGCCTTGGTGGTCAACTTTTTTTTTTGCCCTGAAAGATTGGACATTCCTTCAGTAACAGTGGCCTCTGTCTTTTGGGGATGCATATAATTTGAAAAAGACCTTTTGACTATTTTGATGCAATCCATATTCTTTCTTTTTTTTTAGACAATGTCTTGCTCTGTCTCCCAGGCTGCAGTGCAGTAGTGTGATCTTGCCTTACTGCAACCACCACCTCTCAGGTTCCTGCTGTTCTCCTGTCTCAGCCTCTCGAGTAGCTGGGATTACAGGCAGGTGCCACCACATCCGGCTAATTTTTGTATTTTCAGTAGAGAGGGTTTCACCATGTTGGCCAGGATGGTCTCAAACTCCTAATCTCAGGTGATCCACCCACCTTGGCCTCCCAAAGTGCTAGGCGTGAGCCACCGGGTGGCATCCGGCCCACATTCCTTTTTAACTCATATTTTCTAACCTTTGGATTGTAGGATCATTTGCAAATTTGATTAAATATACTTGGTATAGTAGTTCTGGACTTGTTTACAGTCCTGGTGTAATCCTTGTTATGCCAGGATTGTAAACAAGTCCAGAAGGCAAATTAGTTTTTTTTTTTTAATTTTTAAATTTTTTTTGAGACTTGATTCTTGCTCTGTTGCCCACGCTGAAATGCGGTGGTGCAATCTTGACTCACTGCAACCTCTGCCTCCCGAGTTTGAGTGATTTTCATGCCTCAACCTCTCAAGTAGCTGGGGCTGCAGGCGTGCACCATCACGCTTGGTGAATTTTTGTATTTTTAATAGAGGCAGGGTTTTGCCATGTTGGCCAGGCTGGTCTCGAACTCCTGGCTTCAAGTGATCTACCCACCTCTGCCTCCCAAAGTGCTGAGATTACAGGCATGAGCCGCTGCTCCTGGCCTAAATTGGTTCTTTATTAGGATTTTTTGGGTGTGTCTCAGAATTGAACTATGATGTGGTAAATTTAGAGAAAGTTCAAAGGGTAATCTATAAGCAGAGGGTTGAAAAATGTCAGAAAGTTGAAAGAGCCTGGTAAGGAGAGACTATAAGAATGATTTTTTTCAAATATGTAAAGAATATAAATGTTAATTCCTCTCTTGAGGACAGAAATGTAGATTTTTTATGTATAATGTAGATGTATAATAGCTACTGGGAATACCATGATAGGTAGTCATTTTGGGTACAGTATCACCTAGGTATTCAGTGGTTCATGCAGCAAATACTGATATTAATATTTATTGAGCCCTGTTATGTACAAATCTGTGTGCTAGGGATACAAGAGTGAACAGAATTCCTACTCTGAAAGGGGCATTTGCCTGTGTTTGAATCCTCTATTTTGTTTATTTATTTATTTTTGAGACAGACCCTTGCTCTGTTGCCCAGACTGGAGTGCATTGGCACAATCTCGGCTCACTGTGACCTCCACCTCCCGGGCTCAAGCGATTCTCCTGCCTCAACCTCCCAAGTAGCTGAGATTACAGACGTGCACTACCATGCCCAGCTATTTTTTTTGTATTTTTAGTAGAGATGGGTTTTCACCATGTTGGCCAGGTTGATCTCGAATTCCTGACTTTGAATGATCTGCCTGCCTTGGCCACCAAAGTGCTGGGTTTATAGGCACAAGCCACCATGGGCCACCTGAATCCTGGCTTTAATACTGAACCAATTGTTTGGCCTTGGACAAGTGACTTCTTTGCTTTAGTTCTTTATCTGTAAACTGAGATTAATAGTATCCATCGGGTTGTTTTGATGATTAAAAGACTTAATATTTGAAAAGAGCTTAGAGTAAGCACTGCCTTGCTCATAGTAAGCACTTTTAAGAGTTAATAATTCTCTTACAAAAGCACTTGGGGAAGAGATAGATAATACTATCTCATGTGACATTACTTATTTGCTTAAATGCTGTGGAGAAAATACATAGGGTGTTGAGAGTGAGAGGTGGTGAGGTAGTGTGCCCTACAGGGAAAGGCTTTCCCTTTAGATAGAGACTACTGATCATGTCCTAAGTTACCCCCTGCCCCCTTTAAAAAGTTTGGAAGTAATTTCAAACTTACAAAATGTCGCAAAAATAAAGCTAGAGTGTATTCAATGTTAATATTTTACCTTTTCTGCTTTACTATTTGTGTGCACACATGCCTCCTCTTTGTTATTCTGAACTGCGAGGGTAAGGTGTACCTATGGCTTTTTACCCCTCAATACTTCAGTATTTTCTAAGAATAGAGATACTATTTTACTTAACTACAGCCTAATTATCAGCTTCATAAATTTGTAATAATACTTTAATCTGTTGTGCATATTCCAGTGTTATCAGTTGATCTGGTAATGCCCTGTATGGCGTTTCCTCCTGTTATTACAGAATTCAATCTAGAGTTAAAATTGTGTTGTTATTGGCCGAGCGTGGTGGATCATGCATGCAATCTCAGTACTTTGGGAGGCCGAGATGTGCAGATCGCCTGAGGTCGAGAGTTCGAGACCAGCCTTGCCAATATGGTGAAACTCTGTCTCTTATAAAAAAAAAAAAATTGTGTTATTGTGTTTCTTTAAACTTCTTTAATCTGGAGCATTTCCACACATTTCTTTGTCTTTTATGGATAACACTGACATTTCTGAAGAATACACATCCCCCTTTTAATAGAAAGAACATTCCTTCTGGCCGGGCGCTGTGGCTCATGCCTGTAATCCCAGCACTTTGGGAGGCGAAGGAGGGCAGATCAGGAGATCAAGACCATTGCCAACATGGTGAAACCCTGTCTCTACTAAAATGCAAAAAAAAAAAAAAATTAGGCGGGCATGGTGGCGCATGCCTGTAGTCCCATCTAGTTGGAAGAAGAATAGCTTGAACCCGGGAGGCGGAGGTTGCAGCGAGCCCAGATTGCACCACTGCACTCTAGCCTGGCAACAGAGTGAGACTTGGTCTCGAAAAAAAAAGAAAAGAAAAGAAAGAACATTCCTTATTCTTATTCTGAGTTTGTCTGATATTTTCCTCATTATTAGATTGAGGTTATACATTTTTGGCTGGAATAGGTGATGATGTATCCCTCTCAGTCACACATTATTTGTCCTTCTTAGATGATAATTAGTTTTGATCACTGGGTCCAGGTATTACCCAATTTCCTTATTACCTAGAGTGTTTTGTTTTGTTCATCCTTTCTTGCAACTTTAAGCAGCACGTGGGTAAATACTTTAAGATCATCCAGATAACCCCCTTGTCTAAATTTTTGCCTAGACTCGGCATCCCTTGATCATTCATCCAGACTAGATCATCCATTGACGTAAGTTTTTTTTTTTTTTTTTTTTGTTCTTTTTTTTCTGAAATGGGGCCTTGCTCTGTGACCCAGGCTGGAGTGCAGTGGCATGATCTTGGCTCATCGCAACCTCCATCTCATGGGTTCAAGTGATTCTCCTGCCTCAGCCTCCCCAGTAGCAGGAAGTACAGGCGTGCGCCTCCATACCTGGCTAATTTTTGTGTTTTTAGTAGAGATGGGGATTCACCATGTTGGCCAGGTTGGTCTTGAACTCCTGACCTCAGGTGATCCTCCCTCGGCCTCCCAAAGTGCTGGATTACAGGTATGAGCCACCGTACCCGGCCCATTGATGTAGTTTTTATCATGATGGTTGCAAAATGATGACTTTCCAACTCCAGTTAGACTTAAGAACCTTTTAAATTTGATGTAATTAGAGATCAGTAGCTACATTTTTGTAATTTTAAGAAAGAAAAATTTATTCCTTGCTCTCCCACGTAGGATGGCCCAACAGCAGGCCTTGAGGTTCCGAGGTCCGGCTCCCCCACCAAATGCAGTGATGCGAGGCCCACCACCTCTGATGCGACCTCCTCCACCTTTTGGTATGATGCGAGGCCCTCCACCACCACCACGGCCCCCCTTTGGACGTCCTCCTTTTGATCCTAATATGCCGCCAATGCCTCCTCCAGGAGGGATACCTCCACCTATGGGCCCTCCACACCTCCAGGTAAAGAATGTAGAGGTTGCCATTTCTTTGTTGGCATCATTATCAATATTATATATGGGTTTTGACTTAAAAACTTACATTCTTAAATAGTTTCAGTTTGTAGGAAAATGGGAGCTAAAGAGAAGATCCATATATTAATATGTTTCTTCTAAATTAGTGGTAGCAGTAATTACTAAGGAAATTCACAATAGAACTTTAAATGGTGATAGAGAAGTATATGTATAAAACCAGGAGTCAATAGTTTTTATTTACCTTTAGCTCTGTGAATTGGCTTTAGTAATACATCTTCTTTGTGGGAAATGAAGTTTGAAATCTTAAGATATTTTTGAGTGGAGAAAATTTGTTTTCAATGATATATATTGCCAGCAAGTCTAAAAATATATGTATATATATTCCTGAGTAGTTATTGTCCCCAGGAAAGTGACAGCAAACACATTTTATAAGCACAGTTGAATTTTTTTTTTCTCCCCTGCGGGGAAAAGTAGGGTTATCTTACTATTTTTGAGAAAGATTTATTAGGGGATTTCTTTAAATAAAAACACTTGTGGTATTTTAACCTGTGGCATATATCCCTCTCCATTGTATCCAGACTTGCTGTCTGAAGTGAGGTCATGAAGGTATCAACTCTCGAATGTCTCATTTTGGGATTGTATTTTTTTTATTTGAGTATGTATCTATGTTTTCTTAGTTTAGCCTGTATAATTCTGAAACCAAATAAATATAGTGGTATCATCTGCCTTCCGTTAGCTTAGACAGTGAAGAATGAACTATACTAAAAATAGAAGAAGACAATGATGTGCCATTTAAATGATGTTAACTCTGTTTAGATAGGATTGTGGTTATGAAACAGACAGGTTTTAATACTTTGCTGAATAATTTTATGGCCTTCCAAATAACGAATAGCCTCTCCTTCCTTTAAACACATTGTTAAATGGTTTTATATTTGCTTCAAGGTTAGAATAAGAAATAGCTTTTTAACTTATTCTGGTATAATCTTTAACATGTGAATTTGTTCTAATTTGTGCCTTTGAGAGTTAAACCTACTTGTGGAGTATTATAAAATGTAATGAACTAATGTAACCCTCTCATTGAAATATATCAAATGTTGTGCTGAGATACTTTCTAATGTTGTCATGCCTTTCTCGGTCTTGAATAATTGTGTGGCTTTACTTTTTATTAAGTCCAAGTGATTTTCAGCCAAAGGCTCATGAAACATTTGGGATAGATATTTTATGTAACTTAGATCTGGTGTGCTGACGCCTGAAAGATACTCAACTGATACTGAAAGATTGGAGTATGGGAAAGAAATTTTTAGGAAAGTAAAGTACAGCTTCACATTATTAGCATAGTTTGAGTTCCATTATCCAGATTAAGGTGCTTTTGATAATTGAATTTTAATGTTACTTATAGATTATAGAGGAAATCTTTTAAATCCCTGCTCAAAATGTTTTTATAATGTCATAGTGTCAATTTTTAAATTTTGAAACTCATTTTTATGTGCAGTGAAAACTTTTTCTTGAAGGATTCTTCAAGAAGCTGTGGAGACAGTGATGTGCCTGGTATTAAAACAGTATATAAAAATCAATTTTTTTTAAAAAAGTAATCCAGCGCCATGTGTGTGAAAAGCAGAACATATAGAAAGGGGAGAGCAAAATTCAGTGACGGTGTTATAACCCACAGTTGACCACTATTAGTAGTTTGATGTGTTTCTTTCTAGTTCGGTAATTTTTGTTGCAGACATTTTGCTTCTACGACAGGTGAATGTATTTGAATAGACTGTAAAACTAGTTTCTCTTATAGTGTTTTACTTTTGAGTAGAATTCAGTAATAATTTGGAGGAAAAGTAATTAAAGTGACTGTTACTGTCCTTGTGAATTAACAGAGACCACCTTTCATGCCTCCACCCATGAGTTCCATGCCTCCTCCTCCGGGTATGATGTTTCCACCAGGAATGCCTCCTGTGACTGCTCCTGGTACTCCAGCACTACCTCCTACGGAGGAGATATGGGTTGAAAATAAAACTCCAGATGGAAAGGTAAATTATAAAATATAATTTAAGTTGTCATTTTTTTGACAGAGGAGTAAAAAAGAGTTCTGGCAGATTGAGATCAGTGATATTGTCAATTAAGAATGAGCCTTGGGTAAGCAGGGAAAGGGGGTAAGACTCCAGGAGAAGCTGACTGGATTCGATTTTTGTGCAGCAGATATAAGGTTGCCTGGAGTGCTAACACACATTTACCTGTGATTCTGGAAGCTTCTGGTCACTTTGGTACCATCTGCCTAGCACATACTAAATTTCAGGCTCCTAGAAGGAAAGCAGGTGTTCAGCATATACTGCATTGTTTGCATAACTGGTTTAGGCACATCGAGCCATTCTTATCAGTAAGGGAATGTCAACCCTCCTGAAATCCAAGGTCTCAGACTACAGATAAGGGCCAGCAGGGCTTTCTACGGATAGCTGTCTCAGGTCTGTTACGTTAAATTTCTGCATATAACATGGGTTTTCCTTTGGGTGTTAAAAATACAATGTGCTCGTTGTAGAAAATTGGGCTGTGGGGTGGAATTACTTATTTTTTTTGTTTTGTTTTGTTTTTGTTTTTTGAGATGAAATTTTACTCTGTTGCCCAGGCTAGAGTGCAGTAGTGCGATGTTGGTTCACTGCAGCCTCTACCTCCTGGGTTCAAGCAATTCTCCTGCCTCAGCCTCCTGAGTACCTGGGGTTACAGGCACCTGCCATCATGCCTGGCTAATTTTTGTAATTTTAATAGAGACAGGGTTTCACCATGTTGGCCAGGCTGGTCTCAAACTCTTAACCTTAGGTGATCCCACCCACTTCGGCCTCCCAGAGTACTGCTGGGATTACAGGCGTGAGCAACTTTGCCTGGCCCTAAGTTATTTTATTTTTTATTTTTTTATTTTTGAGATGGCTTCTTGTGCTGTCACCCAGCCTGGAGTGCAGTGGTGCGATCTTGGCTCACTGCAGCCTCTGCCTCTTGGGTTCAAGCAATTCTCCTTCCTCAGTCTCCCGAGTAGCTGGGATTATAGGCGCCCACCATCACGTCTAGCTAAATTTTTGTATTTTTAGTAGAGACGGGGTTTTACCATGTTGTCTAGGTTGGTCTCGAACTCCTGACCTCAGGTAATCTGCTTGCTTCAGCCTCCCAAAGTGCTGGGATTACAGACGTGAGCCACTGCACCTGGCTATTTTTTATTTTTGAGATGGAGTCTCTGTTGCCTAGCCTGGAGTGCAGTGGTGCGATCTCGGCGCACGGCAACCTCCACCTCCTGGGTTCAAGTGATTCTTTTGCCTCAGCTTCCCCAGTAGCTGGGATTACAGGTGCCTGCCACCACATCTGGCTAATTTTTAAATATTTTTAGTAGAGACAGGGTTTCAACATGTTGGCCAGGCTGGTCTCAAACTCCTGACCTCAAGTGCTCCACCTGCCTCTGCCTCCTAAAGTGCTGGGATTACAGGCATGAGCCGCCATGCCTGGCCCTATGTTATTTTTAAATAGCTTTAAAGATAAAATATGGTTCCATTATTGTTTTTAATAATAATAATAATTGACAGATTTTATGATAACCATAGATTTTTTGCTTCCACTGCAGGTTTATTATTATAATGCTCGGACACGTGAATCTGCATGGACCAAGCCAGATGGAGTTAAGGTTATTCAGCAATCAGAACTGACACCTATGCTTGCAGCCCAGGCCCAGGTTCAGGCTCAGGCCCAGGCGCAGGCCCAGGCCCAGGCCCAGGCCCAGGCCCAGGCGCAGGCCCAGGCGCAGGCGCAGGCTCAGGCCCAGGCGCAGGCCCAGGCCCAGGCGCAGGCCCAGGCCCAGGCACAGGCTCAGGCTCAGGCCCAAGCTCAGGCCCAGGCCCAGGCTCAGGTCCAGGCCCAGGTCCAGGCACAAGTACAAGCACAAGCAGTTGGAGCTTCCACCCCTACGACCAGTAGCCCAGCACCTGCAGTATCCACTTCAACGTCGTCATCCACCCCTTCCTCTACCACTTCTACCACAACAACTGCTACTTCAGTTGCGCAGACAGTATCAAGTGAGTACCACCCAGCATGTGTTTTTATATAGGGGTTAGAGAGGTGAACCAGTAGGGGACTACATTTCATATTGATCCCAGTGTTTCTGGTATTATCCTTTAATACCAGAATTATTTAAAGTACATTTTTGGCACTAAAACTTTTGGGTTAGAGAAAAACAGGAATTTATATTAATAGGAGAAAGTATTTGCCCAGTTGCAATTCACGAAGCTAAGTTGAGAAAGTGCAGAGTTAGCTGTTCCGCTTGGCCAATAGTAATGCCAGGCATTGTGGGCTTGCAAAATAAGTGTACGTCTTGGTCCCTGCCTTACAGAGTTTCCAGTGTTCCTAATCGAGGAGGCAAGAGTAACACGTGAAAAAATTAGATATTGATGTGCAAAACTATACAGTGAAAAAGATGTAAGAATTTGGGAAGTGGAGAAACGAGTGGGTGGACTGTATGGGTATTTATCATGAAGGAAACAGAGTAGGGTTTAAGTAGGTTCACAGGTAAGGAAAGGATTTTCAGATGGGAGAAGCAACATGAATAAAGGTTAGGAAAATGATAAGTGTAGTTTATGAGGTTTTTAGGAAACTTCTGAGGTGAGAGGGTTTTATTTTGAAGGGTCTTAAGAAGTAGGCAAATAGGTAAGACAGGTACCGGGGGTCTGTATAAATGCAGTATTTTGCAAGTTTTTTTGGTGTTGGTTTTTTGGGTGCTGATGAAATCAGGGAGGTTTATTAGGAACTTCTGAGTAATCTCTTTTAGAGTAGTTTCTAGACTGGGATGCGAGTAGGTAAATTGAGGAGTTGCCATAGAAGGCAGCAGTCAGAAAGGCAGGAGAATTTTCAGGTATAAACTCACAGAGGCTCAAAGAATAGATCTTTTCTGAAAAGGTGAGAGTTGATTAATAGCAGATTTCAGGGATGAAGAGAGGGACACAGCTGTTAATTGGCTTAAAAGATTGTCATTAATATGAAAATATTGCTTTCTTTTTGGGAGGTTTCTTTCTTTTTTTCTTTTTGTATTAATATACGGATATTACTCCTTACTCTGCAGGTTGAGACTAAGTCCAAAAGTACTTAAATAATGATTTTTTAAAATTCGATTATTTGTTATGACACTTGTCTGAAGATACACAGCTGTTCCTACAGTTTGATTATAATTTGTATTATTTTACTACCAGGATAATTGATAAGAATCAAGAAAAAAATGTGGGTTTTTTTTGTGATTACTTCAGGGACTTGGGAATTATTAGTGTGTAAGAAATACGTATAAGAGAGAAATTAATTCACATTGGCTTCAAATTTGAATTTATTTTATTGATAAAAAACAACTGAAGAAGTTAAGTAAGGTACATATAATACGGGGATAGCCTTTAAAGATCCTGTCAATGGTTTTTAGATAGTTTGTGGGGAAAATGTACTGAACAGGAAAATGTGAATAGTGTTTTACAAGTCTTTGCTTTTGTAGCTAAGGTGAATTTTGATATGAAAGTATAACAGTCATACTAGCTAGTTTGTTAAGGGTCTTTACCTTTTTACAGGCTTAGTGCCTCCCAAACCTCTGGCAACGCAGGAGACTACCAGTTTTTATGGGGGACCTGTGGCAGTAATGGGAGAAGGGGATTAATAAAAGCAATGTAGTTTTATGTGGAGGGTCTGTGTTGCTTAAATTGTCTTTCCTGCATTCTTAGAAAGGAGAAATAGTAGTACTTCATTTTGTTTTAAGAAAAGTGATTAGCTAGATAATTTAACCATACTATATGTAGTCCATTTCTGTTTTCAGAGTGGTGTGTCAGTAAGCTCATAGCTGTCTTCTGTCCTGTTTGTCAGTTTTGCTTTATTCTTCAGTGATTGGAGGACTTTATTCCCAGAAATATAAAATAGCAAAATCATATTCTTTTTACTGCTTTTAAACATCAATTTTGATGTTGTCTACGTATTCCAGTGTCTGTTTTTATTTTACTTGATTCAGTATCATAAAGCGTTGTCATACTGCAGTCTTAATATTTCTCCGTTTATTATATATAGTCGCTTGTCTTTTTTAGTTAAGATCTGAGACTGGGTTAGTATATTTTGAGGCCTAGTGCTTCACTAGTCGCTTTAGCAAATGAAGTTAGTAGGAATTTACCCACTGAAGTCTTAGATACCATTCTCCCAGTTTCCCATTATTTTATTGCTTTTGTTCTTTTCCTGTCATGACTCATGGCTACTAATCAAATTCAGAAAATGCTGTGCTGGAAAGTAAGAGAAATGGGTTGAAGAAATATTTTTTTGTCATCTCCGTTTGTGTTCTTTTCCACTTGAAATTTGATGCCCTTATTTATTTTCCTGACTATAGTAGTTTGGATCACAATTTTAGCAATTATCTGAATACTATAATAATATTTAAGTTTTAATTTTCTGAACTACAGTATAGATCTATGGGGTAAATGGGACTAAAAATTAAGAATATATTTTAATCCCAGTTGAGCATAAACTCAGTTTGTGCAAATTTGTGAAAAATGATGAAGAAATCCTACTTCTCAGGGAAGTTGGGAACGATGACTAGATACGTTTTCAGCCATTATAGTGGATTACAAATGCTAAATGGTATATGTATGGGACTGGGCAAATGTTGCATGTACTTTGTATTTTTCACACTGTTATAAAATTATATTAATATGATACTGTACCCTAAGGCTAGGTCTATGCTAGACCAACAATTCATTCCTGGGCCCCTGAAGATACTTGTTTGGCCCTGCTGTCTATTTAGCCAAGGTGAGTCCCTCATTAACAAGTATGAAATTGCTCACATCTTCCCAGCCTAAGTGAGTTTTTCATTATTAGAAGCTAGAAAAAAATACTGACAGATTTTGTTGTCAGTTGGATTATTGGGTGGTTTGTATTAAACAGTGTGCTTTTGTTTAGAACAAAATTGGTATAAAGATTGGGAAAGCACTGTTTTCATTTTATTTCATTCGACAAATTCATTCTTAGTCCAATACAGGTAGACATTTTTTTCTTTACATCAAAAAAAGATGAAGTATTTGTTACCAATGAATTACCAAAATGAATTTTATTTTGGAACTAGACGGGTTATGAATAAATAACAAAATTGTTTTGTAACATGTGAGAATTGAAACTTTTTGAAAAGTATAAAATAAGGATTTTAGTTTTTAGTTTGATTTTAAATGCAATTGCTAGGGATGGAATGTTTTATTTTCGATATTTAAAAATAATGTGTTAGCAGACCCCAAATGATCCGGAATTTCACATTTTCCTGGTCTCTCACAATGGAAACCTCAGTTTTTTCATTTTTTAAAAATAATGAGAGAAACCTGAGTTGTTTTTGATTCCATTCATTCATATCCAGTTAGTCATTAGTTATTTGCTTATCTTTTTCTATTCTTTTCTTCCTATGCATCTGTGAGGTTAATTCATCAAATGAAACCTGTTTATTACTCTTCCATACAGGAACCTTTAGTTTTCTGTATACCCCATTTACCTTCACAAAGTCACACAAATAATGCGAATGCATTCTTATAAAAAGTTCAAAGTCTAACAAAACATATGTATTAATAGTAAAATGTGAAAGAGGCATACACAGAGGGTAACTACTGTTAATGTATTTTAGCTTGTATTCTCCTAGATCATTTTCTCTATATTACTTCAGTTCTGCCCTTTTCCTACCCAGTTAAGGGCATACACCTTAGCCTTTTGTTCAAGGCTTTCTAATTTCTGCTTCTGGCCCACCTTTCCAGCCACACATGGTTTTGTTGGTATGCCTACTGTTTCACTCATTAACTGCTTGCCTTCGGTTTTCTGAACAATTCCTTTTTGTTCTTTACTCTTTGCCTTTATTCATACTTTTCTCACTAGTTTATTTTTTTCTTCTTCCCCCTCCTGCTGTTTTCCTTGTTGAAATCTTAATTTTTCAAGGCTCAGCATCCCAATATTATTTCTATACCCTCTCACAGTTAGAAATGTTCTTTGGGTCTTGATTTATACTGCTATATGTTTATCACATTTTACTTTGTAAATTTCATTTAACTATTTTCAAGCTTCTCGAAGATGAGACCTTTTGACAGATTTCTTGCAGTGCGTAGAATGGTCCCTTAAATAGTTAAATTACTGAATGCGTGAATGAATGAATATAGTAAAATGATTTATGAAGGAGTGATACATGTTTTTGTTTTATCTTTTATCAGCACCCACAACACAAGATCAGACCCCAAGTTCTGCTGTTTCAGTTGCCACGCCTACAGTTAGTGTTTCAACTCCTGCTCCTACAGCTACACCTGTGCAAACTGTTCCCCAGCCGCACCCTCAGACGTTACCTCCTGCTGTTCCTCATTCAGTACCTCAGCCAACAACAGCAATACCTGCTTTTCCACCAGTAATGGTACCTCCGTTTCGTGTTCCCCTTCCTGGCATGCCAATTCCACTTCCAGGTAAACCAACAGATTATAATAGTCTTTCCAGCTATGTTTTCATATTGTCAGTTAGTTTGTTCTCATGTGTCTGTTGCGTTTGAAATTTGCCTTGAATCTCACCTGTTTGAAACGTTTTTGAAAGATTCATGGCTAACTGCAGTATTTTCTCTTAAGTTTTGGTAAATGTCCTTTTTTTGTTGTTGTTTACATGTCCTAAAATTAGAGCCACATTTAAAGCTACACTTATTTTGAATAATGCCCTCAACGAGTTAAAAATGATCATCTTTTCATGTAAATAATGTTCTAAATGCATTATTTTTGAAGGGTTAAGTCTATGAAGTTGAGAAATCACGTCACAGTAGCTTACACAAGTTGGGTGATTTATGTACAGTGCACTGTTGTAAGCACGTTACATGCATTAACTGCTTTAATTTTCACAACCATCTTATGAGATAGGTACACAGACAGGTTAAATTACTTGCCCAGCATCACATAGCTAATAAGTGATGATGCTGAGATTTGAGCCTGTGCCCTCCACATCCAGAGAGTAAGCTCTTAATAACTATGCTTAGTTATTAAGAAAAAGCTAAGAAATTTTAAGAATTTAAGAAAATATGAGTGACTTAACTATAAAACAATTCATGTAAAACAGGAACTAGAAGGTTCCCTTGTAACAGTTATGAAGTAAAGCATAATGTGCATAATTTAAAAGTTTAAATTGTTATGGTGAATTAATGTGTTATATTGTCTTAAGAGACGTCATTAAAACTTCTGAGAAAGAATTAAGAAATATTGTGGAGTGGAACTCTTACCACAGGATTTAAAAATGATAGTGTTGGGCATTCCAAATTTGAATGCATTAGTTTTTGTCAAACACATTTAATCCTTGATCCATGGTTCATTCTCCTTGTGTTATAGTTGAAAGTTTTGGTACCTTAGAGAAGTCAGGTTCACAGGGCTAGTTTGTGGCAAAGGCGAATAGAACTTAGGTGCCTTATCTCTCAAGTTCACATTCCACCCACTTATTGCTACTTTTTTATACTTGTTTCTATGTAAGAATAGAGTTGTGATACATCTGTTTCTTAGATTTGCATACATCTTAATTATCACTATTGCACTGGTTGTCTTTTTCTTTGTGACCACTCTGAAAAGGACACCTTCAGATATACCTTGTCAAGAAAGAAACTAAAAATTTCAGGTATTTTTTTGATTTGGAAAACCTTTTATACATTGTTGATGTAGTGTTAGATAATTAAATGCCCATTATGTGGTGTTTAAGAAATTCAAATCGTTTACAAAGAAGAAAACAAAAGATGTTTTTTCTACTGTTAGGGATTATCCCTTTTCTAGATTAAATTTAAGACAAGCAGCTGGATACTTTTCTCTATATGTAATTTTTCTGGGAAAACTAAATGATAGATGGAGAATAGCTTGATATTTGTCACAACCTCTTTTTGTAATTTTGGTCTGGTTTAGGGTTAAGGGCAGTATTAAGACCAGATCGTGGATTCTGAGTGATCCGAAGGAGCTGGGGTTGCTAATTTTGTAGAGAGAAGATTGAGAGGTAGCATGATAATGTTGTTTAAGTATTTTGAAAGGCTGTCATTTGAACAACTTTTGCTTTTCTTTAGAGGTTCTTAATTAGGACTAATGGATGAAAGGTACACAACAGCAAAATTTATTACTATAGAAAGTAGAAGTTTCTCACAATAAAATCCCTCTGGCTCTAGCTTCATTTTGATGTCATATTTTCCCCTTTTGCTTGCTCCATCATTAAAAAAATTTGGACAGGTGGTGGTGACCATTTGAGTCACCTAATGAAGCAATACCTGTGAAGTTTGGCAGTAGAAAGCATTCAATAAACAGCAGCCATTAGTGAATTTTGGGGGTCGGTTGGAAGAGAACTTGAATTGGATAGTCTTAATATTTCTTTGGAGAGAGTGAGTGTCATATAAAGTGATGTATTAGGCCAGGCACAGTGGCTCACGCTTGTAATCCCAGCACTTTGGGAGGCCGAGGCAGGCAGATCACCTGAGGTCAGGAGTTCAAGACCAGCCTCAACATGGAGAAACCCCGTCTCTACTAAAAATACAAAATTAGCTGGGTGTGGTGGCGCATGCCTGTAATCCCAGCTACTCGAGAGGCTAAGGCAGGAGAATTGCTTGAACCCAGAAGGCGGAGGTTGCGGTGAGCCAAGATCGCACCATTGCACTGCAGCCTGTCAACAAGAGTGAAACTCTGTCTCAAAAAAAAAAAAAAAAAAAAGAGAATGTATGTTTTTTAGATTTATGAATGAATGAATGAGTGAATTCAGCACAGCCTTCCAAATTCCCCAGGTACAGCAACGGCTAAGAAGAAAATGTTTTTCTGGCACCTGCCATTCTGGTGCTAGGGGCATTCTAAAGTTCCAGGGAGTCTCTCCATTTACCAGATGGAGGAAAGTGAATTTCAGAATACAGAAGCAACTTCTGGGCCACACTCTAAGCAAATGGTTAGGGCAGGATTTGAGGCTGCATGTGGGAGCCTCGAAACCCTTTTTTTTTTTTGTGTTGCGATGGAGTTTCACTTTTGTTGCCCAGGCTGGAGGTGCAATGGTTGTGATCTCGGTTCACAGCAACCTCCGCCTCCCAGGTCAATCAATTCTCCTGCCTCGGCCTCCCAAGTACTCGGGATTACAGGCATGCACCACCCACGCCCAGCTAATTTTGTTATTTTTAGTAGAGAGGTTTCTCCATGTTGAGGCTGGTCTTGAACTCCTGACCTCAGGTGATCTGCCTGCCTCGGCCTCCCAAAGTGCTGGGGATACAAGCGTGAAGCCACTGTGCCTGGCCTATTACATCACTTTATATGACACTTCACTCTCTCCAAAGAAATATTAAGACTATCCAATTCAAGTTCTCTTCCAACCCGACCCCCAAAATTCACTAATGGCTGCTGTTTATTGGAATGCTTTCTACTGCCAAACTTCACAGGTATTGCTTCATTAGGTGACTCAAATGGTCACCACCACCTGTCCAAATTTTTTTAATGATGGAGGCAAGCAAAGGGAAAATATGACATCAAAATGAAGCTAGAGCCAGAGGGATTTTATTGTGAGAAACTTCTACTTTCATAGTAATAAATTTTTGCTGTTGTGTACCTTTCATCCCATTAGTCCAATTGAATAACTAAAGAAAAGCAAAAAGGTTCAAATGACCGCCTTCAAAATATCTTAAACAACATTATCATGCTACCTCTCAATCTTTTCTCTTACAAAATTAGCAACCCCAGCTCCTTCGATCACTCAGAATCC